GGCGTGCTCCGTAGTGAGGCGTTGGCGGATGGTTGCAGCCCAGCTGTCCGTGACTTGGAAGTTGCCATGCTGTCTTGGCGTTGTAATTGTAAAGTTCAGTTTGTGCAGGGGGGTCGTTTAAAAGGAGCTGTTCATGTGAGATCTGATTGGATGGGTTATCGTTGATCCCACGCTCTATGCGTATAACTGCCTTGAAAACTATGGTGCTTCCGGAAAACCGTGAAAAAAAGTGTAGCTCGGCTAACCCATTCGAGCCACGAAACTTCGATTCATCATGGACCCTCGTATCTTTTGTTCTCAACCTCCTCCCCGAACCCCTCAGGGTTTAGGGTTTAGGGTTTAGGGTTCAGGGTTCAAGGTTTAGGGTTTAGGCTTTAGGATCACCACCCCCTTAACCTAAAACACCGCGGGGGTGGTGACCTTTCTGCTGGAGGCCGCGGTGTTTTTCGGAGGGTTGGGCCCATTCCACGGCCAGGAGACACAGAAAAAACACCGTGGGGGGGCGAACCCGGGTTACCACCCCCGCGGTGTTTTTCTATAAGGCTTTCCGAGATCCCGTGAGTTTCTTCTTAATGCTTGACCCCTTATGTGGAGTGCCTACCCACAGAGACCTGGAGAATCCCTAAGTCTCCCCCGGAGAAGCGGGATTCTCTGCGGGCGGATACTCCGCAAAACATCGCTTCTCTCGTGAGCGCTCCAGGGTTGCTTGTGGGATTCTCGGCAGGATTGACTCCAGGGGTACCCTGCGGAATTCTCTGCAAGATTTTTTGGGGTAGTCACTCTTCTGGGATTTGTTGTAGGACTCTCTGTGCGGGCGGGATTCTCTGCTCTGCTTGCTTTTTTGGGCGAGGGTGCTCCAGGCATACTCTGCAGGATTCGGCGGGCATTCCACTAAAATTCTCGGGAAGGCACTCCAGGGATCGGCGAGGTATTTAAAACAACCCCGTACAGCGGTTGGGGACTTTACTTCAGGGTTTGTGAAAGCCCAAAATGGTCAAAAATCACAAACATTTGGCATTTTGGTGGTTTCCAAGGCCGCCAAACTATCGAAAAACCTTATGTTTTTGCCTTAATTCAGGGTTTGCGAGACTCAAAATGGTCAAAATCCCTGAAATTGGCGATTTCGGCATTTTCCAAGGCCGCCAAATGAGGAAAATCCCTGTGCTTTGGCCTTAATTCAAGGTTTGTGAAAGCCCAAAATGGTCAAAAATCACAAAAGTTTTCCATTTTGGTGGTTTCCAAGGCAAAACTAGAGACAATCCCTGTGTTTTGGCCAAGGTTTGTGAAGGCCCAAATAGTCAAAAATCACAAAGATTTGCCATTTTGATGGTTTGCAAGGTCTTGGCCTCTGGAAGAAGAGGAAAACTTATAGAAACATTACAATAGCCAAGCCCTAAGCCCTAAACCTAAACCTGACAAATCCCAGACCAACCCAAAACGAAAACCTTAGACAGTAACCCTAAACCCTAAACCGTAAACCCGCCAAACGCCCCAAACCCAAATCTGAAACCGTAAAGCCTCTGCCTTAAAACCAAAAACAAATCTAGCCTCTTTTCAGGGAGTGCATATACATTTTTAGGTCCAAACTTGGGCCCCAACTCAGGCACCGAGCGCCCGGCAAAACTTAATCTTGCCTTTTGTAGGGACTTATAGACCCAAAAGGTTTAAAGTTAACCCTACTGGACTGCTCAGCCAAAACGGGGGCATGCTGGGCCCCCTTGGAGTCTGGACAAAAGTCTTTTGGAGGGTTTTTAGGTATAGGGTTTAGGGTTAAAGCTTCGGGCTTAGGGTTCGACAGCCCGAATCGCACGGGGACCCGGGTAGCGCAGTGGGTGGATATACATTTCTCTGTACACCGTACACCGCACGGCAGAGGCACCACCATGATAGGGCATGTCCTGGTTTCAACTGCAGTGTTTAGGCCTTAGGGCTTAGGACGCGAGTGTGTATGTGTGTGTGTTGTCCCTTTTGTTTTGACCTTTGTCTTCGGAAAGAGAGAAAGAAGGAAATCAAAGTAGGGAACCAAGAGAGGCGCTAAACCCCAAACCCCCTAAACCCTAGTGGACCTAAGCCCTAAACCCAGAAAGAGCAAAGGAAGCAAACCTGGCTCCTTTTCAGAAAGAGTGGGCAAATATAATTTGCATGTCGGATATAAAAGCCAAATCACGCGGGTTGGAGCACGTGACGGCAGCCCGAGATAGAACGAGAAATTTAGGCTTTTAGGGCCGTTTAGTGCCGCTCTTCGTTCCTTACTTGGTTTCCTTTTTTCTCTCTCCTTCCAGAGACAAAGATCAAGAACAAAAGGGACAAACACATGCATACTCGCGTCCTAGGCTCTAAGGCCTTAACCCTTCAGTTTAAACCAGGGAAAGCAAAACCTTAAACAAGCAGCAATCCGGAACCCGAAAACCTCCTAAAAGCCTTAAACTTTGGTCCAGATCCCAAGGGAGGCGCCCACAAGGCCGCACTTTTGGCTGAGCAGCCCAGTAGGGTTAACTTTAAACTTTTTGGGTCTATAAGTCCCCTACAATAGGAAAGTTTAAGTTTTGCTGGGTGCTCGGTGCCTGAGTCTAAGCCCAAGTTTGGACCTGAAGCCCGGAGCTGGGTCTGCCAGCATTCCACAGAGGCAGAAAGAAACTCTCTCTGGGCAAACGGGGCACTCGCAGGATTGTAGCGGTTGAAGCCTTTGTTTGGGGTTTGGAAGCTAGAAGGCGTGGGTGCGTGCGTTGATTGTTGGATTATCCCGAGTCTTGCGATTGCTACGTCGTGAAATGACCTTGGCCAGGTATTTTTTTTGGAAGTCTGCAAGGTGAGGGCTGCAATTGTTTGTCTGTTTCATATCCTGGCGGCCAGTTTTGGGAGTGGAAGAGAACTACATTTCAGATGCATCCTGATTAGCAAGTGAAGATCCAGTGCCTCGTCTCCTTTGCACCCGTTTTCTGGGCAGTGTAAGATCAGTATCCAGAATAGTGGCGCAAAGAACACGTTAAGTGGAGCCCCGAGATATACATCAAGCCCTGTTTGTTGAAAAGTTTGAAGCGAGGGGTCCAGTATCTCGTTGCCTGGGCAGTCGGTTTTTGGCACAGGGCAGGATAGCGGAGTCCAGAACACTTGCAAAAAATGAGTTTAAGCGGAACCCCGACATACACCTTAAGCCCAGTTTTTTGATGGGTTAGAAATCCCAAACGTGGTTTTTTTTTAATGTTTTTCGGCTTCGGTTTTGGGCGAGGTGCGGGTGCGAAAACCAAGGAAAAACACCGAACCCCCCAGGACCCCAATCGAAAAAAAACTGCGGGGGTCCCCCCCCCCCCTCCGGTGTTTTTCTTAAGGGGTGGTGATGGCTTTAGGTCTGGGTGGTTCAGAAGTTAAACTCTTCTTCGTGGCCGCCAGGCCCAAGGCAAACTCATGCTTTACTCATGTTTTCCGTTTGGTTAATTCGTGGGTCAGAAGGGGTCGCTGTCGTAAACACATTCACTCACACACACAGAATCGGGTCGCGCAGGTATGAAACTCCGTGGTTCGGAGCCCAGAAAAACATGCCACAGAAACATAGGGTGAGTTACGGAGAACGAGTAGGGGCCGATCAGAAAGATGTAGGCGCCCACAGGTTTCTTTCTGCTGTTGGGGTTAAGGCCTGGGTTTAGGGTTTAGGGTTTAGGGTTTGGGGTTTAGGCTGTAGGGTTTAGGGTTTAGGGTTTGGGCTATGAAGGGATGCTTCTGTGCGCCGGCCGTGGCGGCCGCTTTTCTCGTCGTGCGCCCGGGGGTCTCTGCCGCCAAGGTGCGTTGGTCGAAGTAGGTTTAGAGTATAAAGCTTAGGGTTGATGTTTGAATTGGGTCCAGGGCTTCAGGAAGTCGAGGGCTAAGGGTTAGGGTTTAACAAGCGCTCGGGCGGTTCAGAATTTCGAGTTTCTCATCTTTCAGACGTGCTTTATTGCGCCGCGATGTCCTTCTGACAGCTGTTGCAGGTTGCCTTTCGGAGACTTGAGCTGATATCACTGATATTGAAGACGCCTAGCGGCGAATCAGCTCTGCATCCCAAAATTGTTGGCATATACGAAAGCAATATACCCTCATGATCTACTTAAAGGTTACAGGGTTTATAGAGGGTTTTTTGGTTTTCTGAAGGGTTTTCAGAGGGCTTCTTGGGTTCATAGGTCGTTCGGCAGGGCAAGGGGGGGCGGGGGGGCTACGGAGGGCGGGCAGGGAGGGTCTGATGATGCGCACGATGTGCACCCTCCTGGGTCCCAGATGGACGACAAAAGCGCCTGGCCAGCACATGCGGAAAAACATGCAATAAAACACACTATTTACGGCACTTGCACGTGTTTCCGGAGTCACAAAACGGCCCAAACCCGCCAAGGAAGCAGAGACAGGCTGGTGATGCTGGCCGTCCCGCAGCCCTAACACCCACAGGCCGCCCCGGAAGGGTGCAAGATGCGGCAAAACGACACACCGATGATGTTCGCAACGTGGCCGGAATGGGTCGGCGGGATTGGCTGACCCCAGCTAATCCTTCTGTTAGCGACAATCCCCGTCGCCAGGGCCTGAGAGAGGGAGAGGCGGTTCCTGGGGCAGCAGTGGGGGCAGTTGTAGGAGGGCAGGGTTGGGAGCAGCAGGGGGCAGGGGTGGCTGGGAGGGGGTAAGCGCAAAGAGCTTTGGCGGGTTGGCCGGCTCGTACTGAAGTTATAGGGGTTTCAAGTTTAGGCAAGTTGAAGGGGTGCGTTCGTGTGTTTAAAGGGTGCTGGCTCTGCAAACAGGATCCCCTGTGGCAGCTGCCCTCCTGTAACATCGAAATCTTGGAGGACAGGGTGTGGAACCGCAAGGCGCTTGGGATAGAGGCTCTGGGGCAGCAACCCCTACCCCAGGGTTTAGAGCCAAATGTCCGGGGGCTTCTTTTCGAGTATCATCGCCGAAGTTCTTGAGCGCAAGTATGCTGCCCATACCCTTTTGATGCCCCAATCCGTCAGCTGCACCAACAGGCCATCCATGACCCTTAAATAACCTAAGGCTTAAAGGGACCCTGAAAGGACTTGAAGCTTGAAGCGTGAAGCCGGGACCTTGAAGCCCTCAAGCACGCTGTACAGGCCCCAGCAAGCTCTCGGACTGCAGGTCCTAAAAGGACGGGGTAGGAGGGGGTACCCCGAAAGAAGCCTCGAAGAAATTTTTGAAACCGGGCATGTGCACCCCGCAGGAGACAGGAGACTCTAGATCCCAAAACCGAAAGGTGGGAGGATGGCCTTGCAGTTTCAAAATCCTCATCCATGTAAGCCCCTCCCCCCTCCACAGAACCGTGTAAGTCTTTGTGGGTTTACTCACAATACGTTGCTTGTTTAGATTTTTGTAGTTGGGGGAGGGGGTTAAACTTTTCCGGGGGGTTGCGGTGCTACCTGAAACCCTAAACCCAACGCTGCAACACTCGGCTCGAGGAGGACGCTTGGAGGTCGCGCTTCTTGGACGAGCGTGCTTGCAGCATTCGGCGGTTTAGGGCCTGCCGGGTTGAGGGGGGTTTAAGGTCGGACCCAAGTCTGAAATTCTGAATTCGTCCTCCAAGCCCCAGCAACCTAGACCCCCGAAGCATGGATGGCAGGCCCATGAAGGCCCTGAAGCCTCGTCCCTAAGGTTTCACGGGCAGCGCCCGGCGATCCTCCGGGGCTGGAGCTCCGAGGCGGGGGAGGCGCTGGCGCGGCGCACAGAGCGGCAGCGGCTGCTGGCGGACTTTGGGCAGATCGAGGCAACGTCCTCTAAGTTCCGGCCCCTTTTCGGCCAGTTTCCTAGACTTCAGGCCCCGTTTTATCATCGGAGCCCCTGAAGGGACGTTGGGTGTGGGGTCCTTGTTATCGGCATCGTTATCGGTCGTTTACTTGCTTCGCGCTCCCAGTGTTGCTACAAGTCGCAGGGGGTTCTACGTTTTGCAGCAGGGCCCAGTTATAGGTCACATTTATTGAAATACCCTGAACGACGTCTGCAGGTGCGTGTTGGCCATGGCTTCTTCTTCCACGTTCGAGGGCAGGCCGAAGAGAGCATGGCTTTGGCAGACTTCATCGAGAGCATGCCCAACGACAACTACATGTTCGACTTTGGCGAGCACCTCGTTCCAAAGTTGGGGTGCATGCGGGCGAGACAAAACTGGGGTTGTTCTGAATTAGTGTCCTTTTTGGGGCATCTTTGTGTAAGAAATCCTCCGATCAAGGTTTATGGAGCAGAGCGGTCTATCTGCGAACTGGACTCTCCCGCCTCTTCTGGGACAGCTCGGCAACTACGACAACTCCTCCGTGCCCCTTCGCCTAGCCTTGGGCGGTGCTGGCCAGGGGATGCCTTTTCACAGCCATGAAGACTCTTGTGCCAAGAGTTGTGGAATTTGGGTTCTACTGGGTCTTTCCTTGTGCTTTCTACTCGTTCCCCGGAGTGCTGCACTTTTGCAGTGGCCAAGGACTCGTACCACCTGCAGCTGCATGGCCGCAAACGTTGGGGAATCTATGCGCCTGGGAAGATGACGCGGACCGGCGTCCTTCACTCGGAGGACTACGCGACCTGGCTCAGGTTTCGAAGGACTGGGAGATGCCCAAAAGTAAAAAGAGCCTTGCAGAACCCCGAAGCACCTTCTAAGCTCCCACATTTCAGAAGCCCATTTTGGGGGGGAGTTGGGCGGTGTGAGTCGGCGGAGTGGGGTGGGGTGGGGTTGTGGGGGGGCTGGGACTCAAAGTGTGGCGTGGGATGCCTGGGAGGAAGAGGCCAAGAGTCCTCGGTTCCTTTCGGACCCTCTTGGACGTGTGAATTTGCAAGGCTGTCCTTTCGCTTTGCGTTGCGCATCGTCACCTTTCTCAGCAGCTCATGCATCTGCAGATGTTTATCTGTCCACGGCTCTTTCTCTCAATGGTGCAGCTTGGTATTGATCTGGGCGGATGGGGGGTGTGCTACTGCGATGGCTGTTATGCCTTGATGTAGAAATCAATGAGCACTTGTGCCAGGACGGGCAAGGGCTTCGTGCCGCCGCAGTGGGAATGCGTGTCCGAGCCAGGTGACCTCCTGTACGTCCCGGAAGGCTTCCAGCACGCCACGGCGAGTCTGGGCTACTCCCTGGCTGTGGTGCAGCACGCGCGCCGCGCGCTGCAGTCCTCGGCGGTCTTCCACTGGCGTGCGGCCGTCCAGGCCCAGCGGGAGGGGCAGCGCAAGGAGGCCATCAAGCTGGCCAAGAAGGCCACAAAGCTCGACCCCAGCAACTCGGACATGTGGCTGACCTTGGGGCAGCTGCACCAGTCAGACACTGTAAGCATGGTGAAATTCTGTGAGAGGGGCCTCAAGGCTAACCCCCTCTGCGCCAAGACTCGGCTTCACCTGCTGATGGCCTACAACACGCTCGGCCTAACAAGCAAGACCCAGGCGCTCATGGAAGACACCAAGGCGCTGGGCCAGGGCATGGTGGAAACCGTGGACTTCCTCGTTCCCAGACCTTCGTTTCATGCGTTGGCGCGATTTCCTGTTCCCCCAAAATCTTCTTAGGCCCTGGGCCGCCTGAGCCCTCACCCTCATCGGCAGAAGCCCCTGGCATCAACACCTTAGGCACTGAAAGCCCTCAGCCCTCAACACCCTTAGCCATAAGCCCTGAACCCTGAGCCCTAAACCTGAACCTCTGAATTCCTAAACTGTTGAAACCTCGAAAAGCATGAAACTCGCAGCAAAACCTGCTTCGCCGCCAAGTCCTAGAAACTCCCCAAGCACCTACGCCCCTAAAACTCTTCAGCAACTCTCCAAGCACCTCAACGCCTAAATCATCAAGTCCCCCCGCCCCCCCCCCCCCCCCCCCCCCGAATGCCTGAAGCCCAACCCTAACTCTAAACCCTAAACCCTAAGCCCCAAACCCCAAACCCTAAACCCTACACCCTAACCCCCTAACCCTAAACCCGAAACCCTCCAATCCCTAAACCCTAAACCCTCCCAGGTCCAGGATGAGCAACGGCGCCGGCGAGACGAGGAGCTCTAGAGATGCCCGACACACCGCAATCCTGAGGTTGGGCCGGACATGGGGTTTTTTGAGCCTTAGGGATTTGGGGTTCCATGATGTTTGCTAGGGATTTGGAGGGGCTAGTGCTGCAGGATTTCGGGTTCCGGGGGGCACGGCTTGAGACAGCCCCGCCATCAGGGCACATCCTCCCGTCCTCCTCGACCTCCGGAGCCCCCGCCGCAGCACCGCACTCCTCGGAAAAGTCGCCTGCGCTGTAGAAGGCCAGCTTTGATGAGAGCACGTTGGACTCGTGATTTTCCAGGGCGCAGACCTTCAGGGCTAGCACGCGTGCGCCGGCAGCAACATGTTAAGATCTCATGCTCCAGGCACAACTGCACTGTAATACACAGCTTCTAGCTTTTGTCTGAGTTTGCCATTTTTTTTTTGGAATTCTCGTGTAGTTGCTCGGACATCATCCCGTCTTTGTATGAGTTCATAAAGTTTGCTTGAAGGGTTTAGGGAGATCAGTCGCAACACCGCATCTGGAGCGGTTTAGATGCTCCCATGCCCATTAGCATGTCAAGCCCTCTTGTGCTGCGTCTGTATATGATCCGAGTTGTCCGAAGCCTAAAAGTCCTGCATCCTAAACCATGAATCCAAAGGCTTGTGCTTGCAGGTTGTCGAGTCGCAAAGAGCTCCTTCAACCACCGCGTTGACTTTCTGTGCAGCCGACGCCCCACATGGGGCACGTGACGTGAGACTTCGCCCTGTGACCCCTTTGGAGCCAAGGTCTGAACTGAACTCGGGTTCAAAGCCATGGGATCACAAGCTGGAAACTTCATTCAGCCTTTGTTGAAGCGCTCGCCTTTGAGAGAGCACATTTTGCTCAGCAGCGCATCGAGGTTTCATCACTTTGCAACGCGTTGCAACATCTCTTGGAGACAGTGAGGGCGCTCTGCAATCGAAGAAAACATGTGCGTTGGGCCGCATGTGGGCAGGATCAACACCCGAAAGTCAAAGTAGACGCGGTTCTTGAGCTCTACATCTACAGCTCTTAGAATTCTCCGCCTTTTTCTGTCTCTGGTTTAGGCCCCTGTGTTTGTTGTTGGCTAAGCCGAGTCCCTTTTCTTGAATACTGCAGTTTTTTGCAGCAAGAGTTATCTTTCTGCTCTTGGCTCGCAGGTTTGTTCTTTCCTGGCTTCTTGATTTCCATTTTTTTCTTTTTGTTCGCGTTTTAGGCTTCCTGGATTCCCGTTTTGACCTTTCTTTGACCACTTTGCGATTTCAGGGATGATGCTCAGGGGTCGTGCTTCTTGCAAGTTTCGCTCATGCTTTGTCTGAAATCGTGTTATCTTTTGCCCCGGCCCGGGAGTGTCTTGGGGATATGGATGTTGCACTCTCAGTCGCTGTTTGTTTCCGTTTTTCTTGTGGGGGACAGCGTGTGGTTCTCAGAGCTTGCAAAGTGCCCAAATCGCGGTGACACCACAGTGCGGGCGCTCGTGTTGGGGTTCTGAGTTTGCACTGCTGGGGGGTTCTGGATTGCTGTGAGGACTTTGGGCTTCGACTCGAACTTTGGGGTTTACAGCGCAAGCGCGTGCAGTGTACGCCGTGGCGCCACCTGAAAATGCATGTTGGGAGGACTATCTGTGCCCAAACCTCTTTTGGTGAAACGAAGACTGCGCCTGGGCAAGAAGATGTCTACATCACCTCGTCTTTGCTTCGGCACCCCATATGCTCACAGCCTTGATGCGCCAGCACTATGGCCACGCCAAGCAACTCATGCTAAAAAAAGCCACCCCAGCGGCGCACTTCTTGCCATGTCAGCCTTCGTCCATCGGTGCAGACCCTTTGCAAGCTCGATAGTTGGGGGTTGGAAATGAACTGAAACCTAACTCTGCTGATGCAGTTCTGACTTTAGCTCATGAGACGGACCTGATGGCCGCGGTGCCGTCACCGACCCTCAGCGAGGCTTTGTCCACCCCGAATCCTTCACACCCACAATGACGGCTAAAGACAGCAAGGTCCGGAGAATGTGTGGCACTGCCAGAGAGGAGCTGTTGATGTTCCACTCATGTGAACATGTCCAGTGCATTCATGCGGCTGCGGGAGGCCTGGGCGGTGAGTGGACAGCATGTAGGTTGCTACACCGGTGGCAAGGCGTGGTCTCTTTGCACTTCTTCGCAACCCTGAATGACACAGGTCCTAAAACCCTATTATACCCCAGCAAACCGTAATTAGGGCCCTTTTGCACGTTTCGACTTGCTGCTCCTTGCCTTTGCTTCCAGATCGCGTTCTGCGAGTCCTCGAACGTCCTTGGCTGCCTTGCCGCCATGCTTCTGTCCGCACCGGGGTGAGCGGTGCTTGTGGCTTTCTTTCGGCAAGCCTAAAACCTAGAACCTTGAACACGCCTTACAGAATGATCTACACCTAAACGCCTTTTCACAGACCCTAAGCCCTTAAGCCTATGAACCCTAAACCCCTAAACCTCAAACCTTAAGCCTTAAAGACCCATTAAACAAAACGCCCTGAAAAAAAGCAGCCGCGGTGTGCCAGGCCTCTGCTCGGAGGAGCTGCACCTGGTGGATGCGGCCTGCCAGGCAGCCACAGGGCCCAGGGGTCTGAAGGACATGGGGGTTTCCGAACATGGGGGGCGCCCCTTAGCTTTTTGGCCCCTGAGCCAAAGGTGGCGCATCATGAGCATCAGTCAGTGGGGCACGCAAATGACAAGCCAAGGGCACCCAAAAGGGCTCACAGGTCGATGAAATGCTCCTCACCATGTGTAAGAAGCTGCAGCACTGCGGGGGTCAAGGAGCTGAACATATTTGAGGAAAGGGTATGGCCCTCAAATGGCCTTTAAATCCCCCAAAACCAACGAACGCACCATGAGCATCAGCAGGTTCACCTACTTCCCGAAGTGCCGTTAAAAGACCCTAACTTTCAAAACACCTGAAGAATGTGCAAAACCGCCAGCGGACCGTCCGGACATGGTTCCCAGACCCTACACCCTAAACCCAAAACCCTAAACCTAAACTCTCAACCCTAAGCCGGAAACCCTCAACCCTCAACCCTAAACCCTAAACCCAAGACCCAAAAACCCCAAACCGCAGGCGCCCACGCGGGTGATCTCCCAAGAAGGCGACGGCGTCCTCACCTTCGCCATCGACCGACTGGGCCTCCATGCCTGCACCAGCCACAGGCTCAATCAAGATTACCCTAAACCCTAAACCCTAAACCCTAAACCCTAAACCCTAAACCCTAAACCCTAAACCCTAAACCCTAAACCCTAAACCCTAAACTGGGTTTAGGGTTGAGGAATGTTGAGGGTGTAGGGGTTAGGGTTTAGGGTTTAGGGCAGTCCAGGGCTGCTTTGGATGGGGCTTCTTTGGGTTCAGGGTTCCGGGTTTAGGGTTTAGGGCTTCTTTGGGGGTTTCTTTGGGTTTAGGGTTTAGGGCCTTAGGGTTTTAGGGTGTAGGGATGTCCCCACAAGTAGGTGCAGTATTATCTGTTGTGTACCCGGAAACATGGATTACCACTGTTACAGTGACATCCATTCATCATGAGTATTTTTTGAATCACAGAAACAACAAACGGTTGCGGGTTGCTGAACAGTAGGGTTTATATAGATCTTCTAATGTAGGGTTTCGAGTTTGGGGTTGATCAGTTTCGGGTTTCGGCTTCGGTGCTGCTTTTTGCAAACAATTGTGCAAAAAAATAGGGTTGGTGCTAGAACTGTTTGAAAGGCAGAGTCATCAAGACTTATCATATCTAAGGGTTTCCAGGAGCAGTTGAGGATTGTAGGCACCGGGGACCCAAAGCTCCAGGGCAGTTGATGGGTTTAGCGGTCAAAACCCTTAAACCCTAAACCCTAAATTAAAGCCTTGCCCGACGTTCGCCAAGCGCCCGAAGGTAAACAAGGGAACTGTGCCTTAAACACAAGGTGCCTTGATTCTTGGATATATCGAGCCTTCTATTTGGGGTTTACAAAAACAGGGGACCCCTAAATTAGACCACACATAGTAGGACCCTTGTAATAAGGACCCCAATAAGGTACCCCTAGTTTCGGAAACCCCTCTTTCGAGGTCGAGGAGCAACTCTAGTTAGGGCCCCTGCTTGCAGGAGTGGCCTGCTGCGGCACTTTTCCCTCGGCTGGGAGCCCATTCATCTTGCACCCCCCCCTAAACCCTAAACCCTAAACCCGAAACCCGAAACCCTAAACCCTAAACCCTAAACCCTAAACCCTAAACCCTAAACCCTAAACCCTAAACCCTAAACCCTAAACCCTAAACCCCATTCTCACGCAATTGTTTTTCGGGAATAGGAGTCCCCCCAGGCGCTAGACCGGCTCTTTCAGGGTTTTGTTAAGGCTGTAGGTTGGCAAACTTGGGTTGAGGGTTGAGGGTTTTTGAACTTTTTAGGGGCTTCGGGCTTACTGGCCCTCAAAATGAAGTCATCCTCAATACCAAAGCTCTAAGAACCCCCAGATCTTGCAGCCCAGCCCCCCCTCTCACCCTCAAATGTTATTTTGGACCATGTAGAATTTTAGGGTGTGGCAGAAGCC